AAAACCCAAACACAGAAAGTAGAGTAACTTGGCCAAGGTCACACAGCCGATAAAAAGCAAAACCCAGATCGGAACCCAGGTTAAGACCTTTAGACCTAAGAACTGGAAATAGTCTGGTAACCGTCCCCCTCCGTTGCCCCCCCCCAACACAACTCCCTGCAATTCTAATGTAGAATTCACAAAAAAAGAGATCTAAACTGCAAAATAAATGTTAGGAAGCCAAAAAAGTTTCAATTTTCTCCCCAAAGCAATTACTTCCTGCTTTTAAGGAGTAGAATTTATATTTATCTCATTCTTTGTTAGGTGACCTAAACACATATGCTTAGTCTGCCTTTGACTGATTTAGAATTGTCCGTATCTGTCGGATCTGAAGCCTAAGCATTTCCCCTCTGCCATCCTGCCCTTCACAAAAATTTGCAAGCAATTTCATAAAATAAAAATGCAATTAATTTCTAAATCAAAAAAAAAATCGCCAAACAGCTCATAAAGTTTCTCCTCCCCATCCCTATCCCACAGGCTCCAAATCAATATGAATAGCTCCCACTGTCCACCTAGCTGCCCAAGCTAAAAACCTGCTTTGGGTTTTTTCACCGTATGCTTGCCTCCACCTTCCCCCTACCCCCACGTGGCTCAATCTTGCTTATTCAGCTGCCTCAGCCTCTCACTGCCTCCCTTCTCCTTGCCTGCTAGGCCTTAGCTCAGGTCCCACCATGCCTCACCTTGACCTTTGCAGCCCTCTCCTGACGGGTCTCCCTGCCTCCAGTTGTTCCCCCTCCAATTCATTGTCTGCACTGGGTGATCTTTCTAATTTCCAAAAGTGATCATTTCATTTTCCTGCTAAAAACACTTTAGAGACTCTGCATTACCCACAAAATAAAAGCCAAATCCTTAGACCCTCAGGCCTTTCCCTCCCTCTCTTGGACTCTTGCTTCCCTTTCTCACAGCATTGAGCCCTATACTGTCAGATTTTAGTGAGAACACAAACCACTAGCCAATTAGGGACCTTCTTCCCCATTAGACCATCAGGCCATCTCTGAATTTCCTGTGTTCAGCCCAAGCCTGGCATGGAGGAAAGTGTAGAAAATAGTTGCTAATGATGATTCAAATGCCTGCAGGCTAGAAGACAAAATAATGATACTGCTTGCTGTGACCAGACTCTAAAAACCCATTTTCAAACGTTGCCTCAAAGGCTGCACAAAAGTCAGAAACTCATCCATAATGGCTCTTATCAACCTATTGCCTCCCACAGCAGCCTGGGTACAAATGGCTTTGGATCCTTCTGAACAGTACATTATTATTCTTTGCATTTTAATAATTTTCATGAACTATCACATTTGACACCATTAATGCTCACTCCATTGTTCCCAGCCCCGTCCAAATGTGTGACTCAGGAAGGCAGGTACCAGAGGTCCCGGGCAGGAACTGGTTTATAAAAAAATAATCCAGCACATCACCCACCTAAAAAACAAGTAAACCTAATTTTTCAAAACCACAAACCCATTATTTAATTGAAAAGGTGCGATTCTTAAAAAAATGATTAAGCAACATGAACATTATTGTGCCAAAGAATGCCAGTAGGTGGTGGGATAGTGAGGGGTAATGGTTTTGTCTATGTTCCAAACTGCATTTTCTGAGAACATATTAATTTTATAACCCAAAACTTCAAACCTTGTATTTCTTGCTCTGTCACCTGGGCTAGAGAGCAGTGGTGTTATCATAGCTTACTGCAACCTCAAACTCCTGGGCTCCAGCAATCGTCCTGCCTCAGCCTCCCAAGTAGCTAGGACTGCAGGCACGTGCCACCACACCTGGCTAATTTTTCTATTTTTTGTAGAGACAGGGTCTCACTTGTGCTCAGGCTGGTCTCGAACTTCTGGGCTCAAGCGATCTTCCTACCTTGGCCTCTGAGAGTGCTAGGATTACAGGTGTGAGCCACCACACCATCCTGTATTTTTTAAAATAGTAAATGTTTAGTTTTAAAAAAAAATTGTGGTAGAATGCATGTAAAATTTACCATCTTAACCATTTTTAAATGCATAGTTCATTAGCGTTAGGTATATTCATTGTTATGCAACTAATCTCCAGAACTTTTTCTGTTTTTTTTTTTTTTGAGACAGAGTCTGGCTCTGTTGCCCTGGCTAGAGTGCCGTGGCGTCAGCCTAGCTCACAGCAACCTCAAACTCCTGGGCTCAAGCAATCCTACTGCCTCAGCCTCCTGAGTAGTTGGGACTACAGGCATGCGCCACCATGCCCGGCTAATTTTTTCTATATATTTTTAGTTGTCCAGCTAATTTCTTTCTACTTTTTAGTAGAGACGGAGTCTCGCTCTTGCTCAGGCTGGTCTCGAACTCCTGACCGTGAGCGATCCACCCGCCTCGGCCTCCCATAGTGCTAGGATTACAGGCGTGAGCCACCGCTCCCGGCCCAGAACTTTTTCATCTTACAAATTTGAAACTCTATACCCATTTCTCCCTTACCTCAGCCCCTGGCAACCACCATCATTTCTGAGTTCATATAAAACTCACACATGGCCGGGCGCGGTGGCTCACGCCTGTAATCCTAGCACTCTGGGAGGCTGAGGTGGGAGGATTGCTCAAGGTCAGGAGTTCGAGACCAGCCTGAGCAAGAGCGAGACCCCGTCTCTACTAAAAATAGAAATTAACCGGACAACTAAAAATACATAGAAAAAAAATTAGCCAGGCGTGGTGGTGCACGCCTGTAGTCCCAGCTACTCGGGAGGCTGAGGCAGAAGGATCACTTGAGCCCAGGAGTTTGAGGTTGCTGTGAGCTAGGCTGACGCCATGGCACTCTAACCCGGGCAACACAGTGAGACCCTGTCTCAAAAAAAAAAAAGAAAAACAACCTCATACATGTGTTTAGATACCTCATATACAGCATTTATCCTTTTGTGACTGGCTTATTTCACTTAGCATATCACCAAGGTTCAACCATGCTGTAGTGTCAGAATTTCCTACCTTTTTAACTGAATAATATTCCATAATAGTATTTTATGTACATACCACATTTTGTTTATCCATTCATCTGTTGATGGACATCTGGGTTGCTTTCACCTTTTGGCTATTGTGAATAATGCTGCTGTGAACATTGATATACAAATACCTCTTGGTAACACTACTTTCAATTCTTTTGAATATGTACCTAGAAATGGAATTGTTGGATCATATGGCAATTCTGTTTTTAGTTTTTTTGAGGAATTGCCATACTGCTTTCCATAGCAGCTGCACCATTTTTACATTTCTACCAACAGTGCACAAGGGGTCCAATTTCTCTATATCCTTGACACTACTTTTTTAATAGTAGTCATCCTAATGGGTGTGAGGCAAATCATTGTGGTTTTGTATTTTTAATACATTTTATTTTTTAGAGCAATTTTAGGTTCTCCGCAAAACTGAGAAGGTACAGAGATTTCCCATATACTCTCCTCCCTCACATATGCATAGCCTCCCTCATTAACATCTTCCACCAAAGTGGTTCATTTGTTACAACTGATGAACCTACACTGACACATCATTATCACCCAAAGTCCACAGTTTATATTAGGGTTCACTCTTGGTGTTGCACATTGCAGAGGTTTGCATAAATGTATAATGACATATACCCACCATTAGAGTATCGTACAGAGTAGTTTCACTGCCCTACAAATCCTTTATGCTCCAACCATCCATCCCTCCTTCCCCCAACCCCTGATTTTTTTATTGTCTTCTTAGTTTTACCTTTTCCAGAATACATACCAGTGTCATAGTATTGCAATCATATAGTACATAACCTCTTCAGATTGGATTCTTTTTCTTAGTAACATTAAGGTTTCTCCATGTCTTTCTGTGGCTGGATAACATTTCTTTTTAACGTTGAATAATATTAATATTAATATTCCATTGTCTGGATGTAGCACAGTTTATTTATTCATTCACCTACTGAAGGACATCTTGGTTGCTTTCAGGTTTTGGCAATTATAAATAAAGCTGTTACAAACATCCATGTGCTTGTTTTTGTATGGACATGTTTTCAATGCCTTTGGGTAAATGCCAAGGAGGGAAATTTGCTGAATCACATGGCAAGAGCATATTTAGTTTTGTAAGAAATCACTAAACTGTCTTCCAAAGTGGTTGTATACATCTTGCATTCCACTAGCAATGAACAAGAATTCCTGTTGCTCCACGATTTTGCCAACATTTCATGTTGTCAATGTTCTGGATTTTGGCCACTCTAATAGTTGTATAGTGGTCTCATTGTTGTTCTAATGTGCCTATCCCAGATGACGTGTCACATGGAGAATCCTTTCATATACTTATTTGCCATCTGTATACCTTCTCTGGTCAGGTATCTATTAAGGTCTTTGGTCCATTTTTTAATCAGGCTGTTTTCTTACTGTTAAGTTTTAAAAGTTCATTGTGGTTTTGATTTGCATTCTCCTAGTGATTAGTGATGTTGAACATCTTTTTATAGGCTTGTTTGCCTACAGAGTTTAAGCACACCAAAAACTACATTTTAAAAATGAGCTTGATGTCTTTTAAAACCTCTGTTCTATACTTGGGAAAGTCCCTCTCCTCCATCAACTTGAGAAGCTGGCCAGCTGTGCTCAACAAACCATGCACATGGCAAGTCTTCCTTGTGAAAACAGTGGGTGGTGACAGGTATAATTGTCCTGTTATCGCAGAAAAAATAACAAGCTCGCCCCCTGGTGACAAGCTAGGAGATAATAGAAAAAACAAATGGACTACAATTTGAGACAAACAATCCAGGGAAGTTGACGGCAATGTCATGTTAAAGTCCCAGGTGACCCCTGGGTTTACATATTGATTCTACCTATTGACTTAAGACAGTGTACTTAAGTGATTTCTTTTACAGTAAACACACACACACACATATAAATCAATTTAAAAATTTTTTAAAAAAGAAAAAGCAAATGTTCTTAAAAGGCATAATTACTACCTACCTGGAATCTGGGGAGAACACCAATAACACAAATTATAAAGTAATCAAAACAGTTTATTCACAGAGACAGTTAAAAAGGTTCAGTTCCAGGGGACAAAATGTCACAGAGTCCTTGCTTACAAATTCCTAGCTGAAGTTGCCTTGGGAATAATCTGCTCCCTCAGCATGATGGGCAGCGCCAGGTGACTACACTGGGGATGCTAATTTTCAACTGTGAATATCTCTTCTAGAGAAAGGCCAGCTTATGTTTCATCTTTAACAACCCTGAAGCATAACAACCTTTAACCTTTATGTTGCATATCCCTCCTGATTTCTATGAATTTATGGAAACATCTGACTCTAAAGGCAAAAAGCAAGCCTACATCAGTAATTATGTAAGTCAGTGGGTGGCAGTCATGACTGCTGACTGAAATAAACATCACAGGCTACATCCCAGCGGGTAACACTTTGGGGCAACAGATCTCTGTAACCAGTGCTACTGATTCAAGTCCCAAGTTTTCCTGCTCCAGCAGGTTGACCTTCAAGAGTTGCATCAGGCCTCAAAAATAGGAAGGGCCAGTCTCAAGCTGTTTGTTGCCTGGGAGGGAAGTTGTGCCATATTATCCAAATGTTAAGGGTTGGACACTTTTTTGCTGTTCTTTGTGTAGCTGCTGAGCCCTACTTTTTAGCACCTCAGCTTTGGCCTCGTCCTTGTTGACACCATCCCCCAGCTTGTACATGCGGCTGGCATTGGCACAGGCCCAGACATGGCCCAGGTCACAGGCTTTCAGTGAGTATTTACATGCCAGGCCCATGTCTTTGGGAAAGCCAGGGGCACCCTGCAGGAATATGGCACTGAGGTTGAAGCAGCTGGAGGCATAGCCACCATCACAGGCCTTTGTATAGTAGTCCCTGGCCTTCCCCACGTTGGGTTTGCCATCTTCATTGACCCGTCCATCATGTGCCAGGAGACCAACATTATGACAAGCTTCTACAGACTTCTTTGCAGGCTTTTCGCATGCCATCAAAAAGCAGCTGTAGGCAGCTTTCAGGTCCTGGGTCAGTCCTCCTGAAAGGAAGGAAAGCAAAGAAAAAGTAAACCCAAGGGGAGGAGCCAAGATGGCGGATGAGAAAAGCTGCCAGTGAGAGTGTCTCTGTAAAAAAGACAAATTTTAGAAGAAAGTGAAAAAAATAAACTAGCAGAAAAACATAGATCGGGTGAAGGTCGGAAGGAAGGGTACCCGAAACTACAGGAGACTCCACGGGAAGATGTTGTGGAGAACTGGAAGGAGAAAGGTCCCGAGAGGCTTGGAGACCAGCGACAAGGGTAGGTGGAGCGGTTAACTTTCCCCTCCTTTGCATCTCGGACTGCTGGTGGGCTCCTGAGCAGTTGGAGAGACCTGCCGACACCAGCCCAGAGACGGCTGCTGCCAGTGAGCCGTGGCCTCTTGAGGACAGGGCACCAGGCTCCCAGCTCCCTCGGGGCACCTCCCCGCGCACAGATGCCATATTGCTCCATTCTCTCCTTCCCCTTCCCTACCCGTGGGTGTCCAGAGAGACAATTTAGCCATCACACAGAGGCATCTCCAAGGAACGGGACCTTTCCTTTTGGGGCCCTACAGCAGACTGAGGGGTACTCAGACTGCGAGCTCCCTATCCGCTAGCCCTCCCAGGTGCTGCTTGCCTGGGGAGTCCAGGAGAGTGGGGAAAATCCCGAGGTGGAGTGAAATCGATCCAGCTTGGGCACTCTGTAGGTGATTCGAGACCAGCACCCCTTCCCCTGGAAGGGTCAGGATTGATCTCCAGGGCCCAGGGGACAGGCCTACAGACCAGACCCCATATGCCCGGTCACAATCGCACTGCCCCGGGGCACAGAAGGGATATCTGTGAAAAAGCCTACTGAGGAATGTGTGTCTTCAGGGGCACATCAGCATGCCTGAGCGGCAACCCTCCTCCCAAAAGAGGGCTGTGCACCCATCTCAGGTTGCGATCCTGGGCAGGGAACCTCCCGGCCCACGTCATGGCCAGGAGAGATCCATTGGCCTGAGGTCCTACCTGCTGGCAGAGGCCTGGGAGAAACCACAGAATAGGGGAGGGTGGAAAGGACCGAGATCTGCTCCAGAGTGCAGGTCTCAGACAGCCCCACCCCGCAAGCCCAGACTTTTCGGCTGAGTGGAGCCATTTCAGCCCCTCCCGGCAGCTTTGCACAGAAGCAAAGAACAGACCTTTGACCCCTGCTAACAGCATTTGTGGAGCTTGAGGGCAGGCTCACCCAACCCAGCCCCACCCAGACTCACTCCCGGACCTGCCCCCACCGAGGTGGAGAATAAGGACACACCTGGAAGTCCCAGGGCCCCACCCACCACCCGAGGCACAAGAGGCCTCTCCAGAGGAACAAGAGCTGGTTATAGGACCCAAAAACAGCACTGCAGCTCCCTCCTCCCAGCAAGTGCCACCTACTGACACGGAGGTCATTCTGCACACCCTTTTACTGCATCTACTGATTCATCATAAAGGGTGTGGTTGAATCTCGCCCACAAACACCACCTGCTGGCTCAGAGACTAAACAGGGCGTCTCATTATCTAAACAAAAATCTAAAGGCAAGAAGGAACAACTGATCCAGATGGGAAAGAGCCAGCGAAAGAACTCTGGAAGTATGCAGAATCAAACGGAAAGCACACCCCCAAAGAGGAACAACAGCTCTCTAGCAATGGACATTAACCAAACTCAGAACACTAAAATGACAGAAGAAGAATTTCAAACATGGATTGTAAGAAAACTCAATGATATACAAGAAAAAATGGATAACCAACACAAAGAAACCACAAAAAAAATCCAGGACTTGGAAGAAAAATTCACTAAAGAAATTGAAATATTAAAGAAAAGTCAAACTGAATTCCTGGAAATGAAGAATTTATTCAAGGAACTACAAAACACAGTGGAAAGCCTCAAGAACAGGGTAGATGAAACAGAAGAAAGAATCTCGGGGATTGAAGACAACTCCTTCCAATTAATAAGTCAGTCACAGAGATTGAGCAGATAATTAAGAGAAAAGAAATAAGCCTACAACAAATGTGGGATTATGTGAAAAAACCAAACCTGAGGGTGATAAGGATTCCCAAAGGTGAAGAAGAAAACATGCAAGGGCTGGATAAGCTATTTGAAGATGTAATAGAGGAGAATTTCCCAGGCCTTGCTAAAAATCTAGATATCCAGGTACAAGAAGCTCAAAGGACCCCTGGGAGATTCAATGCAAATAGGAAGACACCACGTCATGCAGTCATCAGATTGACCAAAATAGCCACTAAAGAGGCCCTTCTATGAGCTGTAAGGTGAAAGAAACAAGTAACATACAAAGGAAAGCTCATCAGAATAATGCCAGACTTCTCAACTCAAACCTTACAAGCAAGAAGAGACTGGGGCCCCATTATCACTCTTCTGAAACAGAATAATGCCCAGCCTAGAATCCTGTACCCTGCAAAACTAAGTTTTGTATATGAAGGAGAAATAAAAACATTCTCAGATAAGCAAAGACTGAGGGAATTCACCAAGACAAGCCCTCCAAGAAGTACTCAAAACAGAACTACACAAGGATCAGCACAATAAACACTCACAAATGTAAAACCACTCAAAAGCTAAAGATCAAAGGCTAAATCCCACAATGGCTCAAGAGAGAAAACAAAGCAACAAAATGCAACTCAACAGAATGAACAGTAATTTGCCCCACCTATCGGTGCTCTCAATAAATGTGAATGGCTTGAACTCCCCTCTCAAGAGACATAGGCTGGCCGAATGGATAAAAAAATACAAGCCAAGTATCTGCTGTCTTCAGGAAAGGCATCTAACCTGCAAGGATGCATTTAGATGCAAGGTAAAGGGGTGGAAATCAATATTTCAAGCAAATGGAAGCCAAAAGAAGGCTGGGGTGGCAGTATTGATCTCAGATAACTTAGTTTTAAAATCAACAAAAGTAATGAAAGACAAAGAGGGTCACTATATAATGGTGAAGGGTACAGTTCAACAAGAAGACATAACAATTCTAAATATGTATGCACCCAACTTAGGTGCACCCAGATTCATAAAGCAAACTCTACTTGATCTAAACAAATTGATAGACAGCAACACCATAGTAGTCGGAGACCTTAACACCCCACTGACAGGACAGATCCTCCAAACAGAAAATTAACAAAGAAATAATGGACTTAAACAGAACTCTAGAACAAATGGGCCTGACTGACATTTACAGGACATTCTACCCAAAAACCACTGACTATGCATTCTTCTCATCAGCTCATGGGACATTCTCTAAGACTGACCATATTCTAGGACACAAAGCAAGTCTTAAAAAATTTAAAACAATAGAAATTATACCATGCATATTCTCAGATCACAGTGGAATAAAAATAGAAATCAACCCCAACAGAAACTCTAATCTCTACACAAAGTCATGGAAATTAAACAATCTTCTGCTGAATGATCACTTCATAAACGAGAAAATAAAGATGGAAATCAAAAGATTCTTTGAACTAAATGACAAAGGTGACACAAGTTATCAAAATCTGTGGGTCACAGCCAAAGCAGTCCTGAGAGGAAAGTTTATTTCCATAAATGCCTATATCCAAAAGTCAAAAAGATCACAAATAGACACCCTAATGAATTGACTCAAAGAACTGGAAAAAGAAGAACAGACCAACCCCAAACCCAGCAGAAATCAGAACTAAATGAAATTGACAACAGGGAAACTATACGGAAGATTAATAAAACAAAAAGTTGGTTCTTCAAAAAAATAAACAAAATTGACCGCCTTTGGCTAGACTAACGAAAAATGGAAAAGAAAAATCTCTAATAAGCTCCATCAGGAACAAAAAAGGAGAAATTACAACTGATGCCATGGAGATTCAAGATATAATTTATGAATAGTACCAAAATCTTTATGCACACAAACTGGAAAATGTGGAGGAAATGGACAAATTTTTAGAAACACACAGTCTCCCTAGGCTCAGCCAGGAAGAAA